ACAGACAGACAGAGACAGATAGACAGACAGATAGACACAGATAGACATAGATAGATAGATAGACAGATAGACAGACAGATAAAGCAACCAGAGTCAGAACAGTCTGAAGATCTGGGCTGAGTTTGGTGGTTGTAGCTTGAAAACTCTAGGAGTAGCGTTCAAAAATGTAGTCAAAGAAGAAGCAGCAGCTTAAATAGCAGATCAGTAGGGTATATGTCGAACATCACCTGACCAAACCCGGAAAACAGGTCTCATCGTTTCCGCTTGTGGGAGAACGTGTTAACAGCCGTATTAAATAATAGCAATATCTATGGACTTAGATAATCGGTTAAACTAGCTAGCTATTTTTATTGTTGACGTTTTATTCAATTTTTATATCTAAATATTAGTAAAAAGAATAAGAATAAAAAACTTTTAGATATCAGTCCACATATGTAATGGATATTGGTTATGATCATCATTGGTATCTACTTTGAAGGCATCTTAAGTAAAACTGCTTCATATTTAACGAAGCATATGCAAAACGCTTGAACCGAAAGCCATGAGACCCGGTTAACAGAATACGCAAGTCTGTTGCGCATAACCCCTGTAGGTTGACTTTCTCAAGCCAACCTAATAAGAAAAGAAAAGAGAATCCCTTACAGTTGTCAAAAAACCACCTGAATATATCACCATATATGCAGCTGCCAATGGGAGAATGTATTTTATGTGATCGAAACCATATGCATGCATTTACATTTCATGCATCTCAAAATAAATTACAGGACAACACTGAACCAACTAAAAATCTGTTTCTTTAAAAATATCTTTATTGTACACATTTACACAAGTAAAAAGTGCAGCATCATATCAGACACTGAAACTTTCCCCCATGTTTGCATTTTCAAATCCACGTCACGACATTAAATGAGGGCTGAGTATCAAATGAAGAAAAAGAAACGGTTCATGACACCATAAACAATTGAAATTCTTTTCCTCTACAACCAAACTGATATTTACAGATTATACAAAAAGTCAGAAAGTCCCAAGAGCGACAGCACACTTTCCATCATGTGTTTTGCTGTCCTTTACTGGACCCTGTGCTTGTAGAACCAGCACAGACCTTTAGTGAAGTTCCAGCCGAGCGAAATGGAGAGAACATACAGGAGTCCGAGCAAAGCGAAGGGATACAGAAGCACCGCGGTGTTCTTTAAGAACGGAAGTGCTAAAGAAACAAGGGGAGAAAACCAGTATCAGCTTGTAGATACATGTCAGAAAACACATGGTCGTAACCGGAGATCACATCACTTACCGCTGTAGCCCAGGAATGTGATGTAAATATAGTAACCGATTGCAATAAGCCACAAGGTGTTTCCCACAAAATAACCCAGGAACCAGTCTGAACTTATGACCACAACATCTGTTAAGAAAGCACAAAAGATGTGTTCACAAAGTCCCAGTTCATTATTACACACATGCATCCACCTGTTTACTTACGATTGATGAAGAACAGCTGTAAAAAGTGCAGAATGACCAGGAGAGGGTAGAAAGCGTTTAGATGGACGTCAAACGCATAGCCCCACTCCACATCGTAATCTCTGCTAGGATGTTTCATTAGATATTTATTTGTGACAACCCTGAAGAAGAAAAACAGGGATTACTGTACAGTGTTACAGTAAAAACTCTTCATGACTTATTCTAGCAAATTAGGCTGATTTATTACCATTGTTACATCATCTATTATGTCATTTTATATTATCTATTATTATATTTGGCTGATATATTGTCATTATTATCATTATATAAAGTACTTGATTCTGATTGGTCAGTCACAGCAAACATTATTGTATAATAACCACTAAACTGTACAATCTGGCAACCCCAGACAACTGATTTCCTGATTGCAATCACATAAAAACAAAATAAGTCAGACCAATATTCCATGTCCATTTATTTATTTGTTAAGAAATTATGTATTATACATACGTCAGCCGGTCGAAATATATATATATTTTTAGTATATATATATAAAAATTTTTTTTTTTTTAGTATTTATATGTTATAGCATATAACTATATGTTTTTGGTTTTCATTTTAATTTTAGTTACTTTGTCATTTGCTTTTGCCATTTTTATTAGTTTTGGTATTTTTTTATATTTCTATTTAACTTCATTTTTTATTTCAGTTTTATTAATTTTAGCACTTTAACCTAAATGTACTTATTTCAGTTTTTTTAATTTTTCATTCAATATTTATATTTTATTTAATTTAAAAAATGTCTACTTTTTTGT